CACACACACACAACTTTACAGTGCTACAAAAGCAATACCTGTCCAAAAGAAATCCGACTTTGAATTCTGAGTATTGGCCTCTACTCTGACTAGCAAAACGCAGCCACAAGGAGCCGCTGGTGCAGGTCAACCATGGGATCAGGGGGTAAAAACACAAAATGTGGCATATTGCTTTCTCAAAGTATGTGTCCAATAAATTACCTGAGATTGTCAACACTGAATTATTAAACAGGCCTTATAGTTAATGCTTTGTTTTCCCCAAGAGCAAAGGGATGTAGATTCAGATTTAAGGTGAGCCAGGCCAAGCCATGGTGTTTTGTAGGCTAGGTACGTTAAATGCTTTTAGGATATTTTCAACTTAATCGGTTGATTGGGACCATAACTTCATGGTAACTGGAGAAACGTCCACACTTTGTGTGCATTACTAGCGATATAAGTCTAGGTAGTATCACATCAATCGGCGATTTAATAATTTATCCAACAAATATTTATTAAGCATTAACCATGATCCAGTTACTGTTTTAGGCTCTAAGGACACATTAAGACAGACAAAGGCTTATGTACGCACAGAGTTTATATTCTAGTGGGGAAAGAGGACAGACAAGCAACACAAACATGTTCTCTTTAGCAACATAAGTGTGCCGGACACCCACCCTGGAGGAGCTCAGGCACAGCCTGGGAAGGTTCCTGTAAACCAGGACGATGGAATACAATAGTAATATGACTGGGGCTGGGGGCAGGATGTGAACGCTGTGGAACCCCAGAGATTGAGGGCCTAGCTCAACCTGCAGAGGCAGCATGGCTTCATCTGGCTGAGAACCCAGTTCTAGAAGGGTAAGTGTGTGGGACATAACAAGGAAGGTTGTGCACTGTGCAAAGGCAGAGATGTATGACCTGGCATGTCCAGGAAAGTGCCTCTCAACCATGTGCAGTACAAGCGGCTGGCCAGCAGGGGCAGTGGGGCTCCCTAAGGAGAGTATTGCAGAACCTCAGGCCTCCATGGTGAGGTCCTGACATACTGGCGGTGG